GGGTTATAACCCCTGTCAGTTTTTTTCTTACCCAATCTGTGTCCTGATGGGCAGATTTCCCTTCACTTCCTGTCTGACAGCCACAACAGGAAGTTAGAGGAAATGCCTCCAAAGAGAGGGAAATCTCTGGTGGACTACCACAACTAGTGTCCCTATTGGAAGGTCTCCCATCTATTCCTGTTCTGATGACAAACCAAAATTTGGGAGTTTCAATCAGTTTCACTGATAATGGTGACCAGGACAAACAGACAAGGACAAACAGAAAGGGTGAATCTCCCTAATGGGGGCACAGACAACAATAAAAACTGACGGGGGTTCTAAACCTTCTCCACTGCATCCAAAACCATAAAGTTGTACTTTAACTGCAGCAGAGAAAGATCAGATCTCTTCCCCTGCCCCGACAGGGCTGTGCGGCAGAGCTGTGTCAATCTCAGGACTGGATGTACAAATCATTTGGCAGGTCATACTGCTACCATGTATGCATCTCATCTGTGTATTTAACTGTTTGCCTGGAGTTCAGATGTAACAATTCTAAAAAAGAATGGAAACCAGTACTGTAGTCAAGGTTACTGCACCCGTCTATCTTATGTACCAAAGAAGCAATTTTCACACTTGATGAAATGAATCTGTGCTTGTATCCATCACCCAATCATATACAAAGGATCTGATTGGATCTGTGAAACAAAGACACATTTCACCTTTTGGTTGATTGGCTAATCTGTCTTTCCAGTTTGCATTCATAGGTATACCACCAGGTCATGTAGGAATGTAGACACAGTATTCACGTATGAGGCATAAGATGTGTCATATACATGGTGACCCTGTGACATTTCATCGTCATGGGGTCACCATCCCGTGCACACATCTAAGAATTATTCATGAGCACGTCGTTACTTATTTAGGACATTGTTACCTAAATAACTGTTCGCGGGAACAGGCACTAAGTCAGCATTGCGTTTTGTTTCACCACCAGTTTCATATGGACCATCTTCTAAAATCCCAACGTCCAACAATGTGCTATTTCTGTGTTCTGCCCGAACGATTCCTGAATGATTGAAATGGCAAATGAAAGTGAACCATGGAAAATGAGCATAACTGAATAAACCAAACAAATGAGTGAAATAAGAAACAAAAACAAAGCTGATAATGGGAAGGCGAGAACACTTGGATAAAATGTTATAAATCAAAATGAAAATCTTGTGTGAAAGTAACATTTCAATGGAAACTATATCTATCTATATATATATACATATATATAT